ACTTAATGCTGTTGTAGGTTATCCACCAGAAAACACTGTCCAGACATGGGTTGCAGCCAGTAGGAAGTCTTTATCAGCCAGCCTTTGTTTTCATTTTGGCTGGTGGAGATGTCTATGTGCTGAATTTTATGGCCTGAACTTCCATCATGGAGTCAGTTGAGCTAAGACCTAGGGCCTGTTACAGTGCATAACATGTCCTTTATCAACGCGACATGACTAATTTGGCTTGAGGTCTGTTTGGTCAGATATGAATATAGTAGTTACTCTTGCTTGCTTTCAGATTCCTTTGCTTAGAATATTGGTTTTCATCCTTCCACTTTCGGTCTTTGCTGGTGAGTGGGTGAGTTTCTTGCAGTCAACAAACTGTTAGGACTTGTCTTAGTCCAGTCAGTCAGCCTGTGCCTTTGAAAGACATGTGCCACTCCTACCCAGTTTTGTTTCCATTACAGTTTTTTTTTTAATAACCTGTATTCATTTCTGCTTTATTGGTGCTAGGGTTGGGATGCTTTGCTAAACTGTCAGTGTTTGATCTGTTTCTAATTCTCGTTTGCTCATCTACTCATCAGGCTAAATTGATTCTTTCCTGCTCCTGACAACTGTGTTCATCTCACTGAATTCCTCTCCAGTGTCCAGGATTCCTTGATTCATGCTTTTCTTTGGAGGTCTTTATTTCTCTAATGTGAAAAATGACTTGGTTGGATACAATAATCTATTTTCTTTCGGGGTTTGTAGTTCTTCACTGAAGCCTTCCTGGCCTTTGGCGTTACTTCTGAGAAATATTTATGTGCAGCTTGACATTTCTCTCATACAGATTTTAATATTCTTTCTTTGTTCTGTAATTCTGGCATTTAATTATAATGTTTAATTATAGTTCCTGTTCTGATTGTGTCTAGTTGGGATTCTAACTGTCTCCTGTAATTGGCCATCTGTATCTTTCTGAAGACTTGAGAATTTTTCTGTCATTATTTCACTGATAGGTTTTCTGTGCCTCTACCTTATATTTCCCCTTTGTCTGTATTGATTACACTGTTCTTTAAATGGTCCTTTGATAGTGTCCTATAGATCTGGAATGTCTTGTCTAGTCTTTCTTATTTTTCTTTACTACTCTCTGAATAAGTCATCAAGCTTTGTCTTCAAGCTCTGGTGCCCTTCTACTTAATCTTAGCTGTTGGGAATGCATTCAGTTGTTTCTTTTAAATTTGATTTATTGAGATGTCCATTTCCAAGATTGCCAATTGGTTCTTTTCTAACACCTCTCTCTCTCTCTCTCTCTCTCTCTCTCTCTCTCTCTCTTTATTGAATTTCTCTTTCACATCCTTCATTGTCTTCCTTAATTCACCCATTTATTTATATCCTTTATAATTTATTGATTTTTTTAAATCATTCTTTTATATTCTTTGTCCAGTGATTTAGGGGATCGGCTCAATGGCTAAAGTGTCTGCCTTGCAGGCATGGGACTTGAAGTCAAGCTCCAGAACCCATCTAAAAAAATCAGATATGATGGTGCACATTCTGTAATCCCAGCACTAGGGAGGCAGAGACATGTAGATTCCCAGGGCTCACTGGCCAAGCAGCCTAGCCTACTTGAAAAGGTATAGGCCAGTTTGAGATCCTATTTCAAAACACACACACACACACACACACACACACACACACACACACACAAAAGCGGGGAAGGGAGAGAGACAGAGAGAGAAATAAATTGTAAATAAATGCAATTTAGAATTTTTAACTTTTTTCTAACTTTTAAATTTCTTAACATGACAAAAGAGTAGTATTCTAAATGTTCACAAGACAATGGTATTTACCAAGCACAACAGAATGTATTCATGTGAAATAAAATTCCATTCCAGGGCTAAGAACATAGACAACAATTGAAAGCTCATGTAGTTTTAGAATTTGAGCAGACCTGGCTCTGCAGTTTGTAGGAAAACTCCCAGCCATTGACCTCTATCTATTCTATTCAATGACCTCTCTCTATCTATTCAATGACCTCTATCTGTTCTATTTAATGACCTCTATCTATTCAATGATCTATTCTATCCAAGTGGGCTTTGGTTACCCTCAGCTATAAAGTTAAAACTCAATTTTTCATGCCACCCAAATATCAAATAAACTCACAAGAAAAAATTTCTGTCTCCTAAGCTATAAACCTCTACTAAAATGTAAAACATGGGGGCATTGAATGGCTCAACAGTTAAGAGCACTGATTGCTTTTCTGCAGGACCTGGGTTCAATTCCCAGCACCTACATGGCAGCTCTAGTCATCTATACTAGTACTCCAATACCAGGGGATATGAAACATTTTTCTGACCTCTACGAGGGTGCACAGACATACATACAGGCAAAGCACCCATACATGTGAAATAAAATAAAATGTGAAGTGTTTCTTCATAATTTTTTAAAATTATTTGCTAGAAGGTTGACTGAGCCCCATAAGCAGTCTATGGTTCGCTATCCTCATTGCAACATGGAATCTACAGATGGACTGTGGAATGGTGTCATCCAATCAAGTAGGCTCATTACATTGTTCTCCTTGACAGCATGTAGGATTACTGCAATGCTTCCCCCAAATTTGCTACATCATGCAGAAGCGATAAGTTTGATTATAAAAAGAAAAAGAAAAAAGATGGGGACTGGAGAGATGATTCAGCAGTTAAGAACACTGACTGCTCTTTCTGAGGACCTGAGTTCAATTTCCAGAACCTACATGACAGCTCACAACTGTCTGTAACTCCAAGACCTGACACCTTCACAAAGATATACCTGCAGGCAAAACACCAATAACATAAAATAAATAAATTATTTTTTTTAAAAAGAGAAAAGACGAAACCCAGTTGGTTCATTAACCAGACTCTAAAGTCACAAACCTGAAGTATTGCTAACAACTTTGACAATTCTGTGAAGATTATGAAGATATGCTTGCTATTGGTGTCATTAGCCAGAATCTGAAAGTAAGGTTAACTGATGAATGTGTGAAATGAAATAGGCCTTGTGTTTTATGTCTTCCAGTTGCCAAAAAGCTTGCAAGTGAATATGGCTTAAAACGCTTGTCCATAGGAGATGCGTTGCGCAGCATATTAAGCAATCACCCAGAAACGGAGCTGTCACTCATGATAAATTGGCACCTTCACAAAGGAATGACAGTGCCTGACACTCTTGCTCTTCAGGCTTTAGATATTTCCCTCATGGAAAGTGTGTGCAATACCATAGGGTAAGTGAGTTGGGGCAGAAGGATGGGGAAAGGGAGTAACTGTCAAGATGCTTGGAGTTATTTAAAAAGGTCTTGTGGACGTGTTTGGAGTGTCTGTAAAGGGAGGAGAATGTTCTACTTCTCAGACTGAGCATTTGCATGGAAACATTGTCTTTTTCTGTCAAGATTCATGGCTTGAACTCATGGCAGATTAGCCCACGGACCTCATTACTCCCAGGAACAACTCCTGCACAGTCCATAGACAAGGCCACTGTGACTTCCTTACCCCTTAGTTCTTACTGCTCCATGAAACAATGGAAGAGCCCTCCTCAGTGCCAAGATGATGTGTTCCCACACACATGTTCCTCTCATGCCCAGGTCCGTGCACAGGGAGCAGTGCCCCTCCTGTAATGCCATATTCACATGAATACTTGGCTTCGTCATCAGTTCACTCTCCTCTGTTCATCTTTCTTCTTGTCCATTACAGCCATCAGTCACACCTCAGCGAATCCTGATGCTCTCTGGTCTTGAGTCCAGGTCACTGACCTAGAATCCTCTGGCTTGGTCAAGATTATTATATACTTAGAACCTCCTGGCTCTTCTTTGTAAGTGGCTTTGAGTCTAGTCATTGAACAGTTAGTTCCTCTAACTTCAGGGGTGGGGAGCATTCTTGAGTGACAGCCTTTGGGAGAAGAAGGGACATATCCACACTGAGTTACTTCTTTCCTGGGGCTTAGCCTTCCCCAATGAATGCAACTTCACAGGTTTACTTCATCTTAATTCCAGGATGAAGGCTGCTAGTCTACTCTAGGTTCATTTCCCCAGCCCTGAGAGCCACTCAAGTGACCCTTCCCAGGATAAAGAAGTAACTACTCTCTGTTTAAAAGAAAATTCTCAACCTCTTACAGACCTCTACAATGAGATGGCTGTGTTATTTATCATCTCTGCTGGGAGACTTCTAGCTAGAGCCTGCACTTTGTGGAGAGCACTGGCGAGTGTGCTCTGCCACTTAGGACACATGAATCTTTACTGATGGGTGCCAGCCACATGCCCAGCTTGCTTCCTTGTCTATGAGGCCACACTCAGAATTTCTGAATTTTTTTTAAATTTTCGTTTCCTTTCAGTTTGGCAGACAGTCGTGTTATCTCAGATCATTGGGCTGTAATTTTCCTATCTTCTGCTCACAAGCATGTGTGGTGGCCCTCACAAACTTCCCATTCTAAATTCCTCATAAATTCCCCATTCTTCTACAAGAATATCTCCTCACAGAATCCACATGACTATTTAATTAGCATCTAGTACATGCCATGCCCTGTTCTAGTTGCTTTTCATATCTGCTCTCTAAAATCACTCTAAAGGTTAAGTATAATTTTTTCCTACTTTACTAAAAACCAAGGCTTGGAGCTTTTATACCAGGTTTCAAATCTAGGCCTGCCTACATTCATTCTGTTGTTTGTGCTTTGCAAGGTATAATGGGTGTGTCTCTCAAATTCTACCAAAACTTGGTCATATGATGCTGAGCATATGGATGTATGAATGTGGGATCTCCTGCCTCCACTTTCGAAGCTGTGTGAGTGTATACTGCCCACCTCATGGTGGTCTAGGGATGACTAAGGGTTAAGATGTAAAGGTAAAGGAGAAAACTGACTAAACAATTATCAGCATCACATGGGAAATCCCAGAAGCACTCAAAGACAGTGATTTCTTCTGGAGGACATAAGGGAATTATGGGAGAAAAAGCATGTGGAATTTTTGTTTTTCTATCTGCCTGTCAGTGTGGTCATTGATGGCTACCCTATGACCACAAACCAGAAGAATCTCTTGGAGGACAGGTCGATCATTCCCATGATCATCTTTGAGTTGGATGTGCCGTCCAAGGAGATTTTCAAAAGGTTGCTCTTAGAAAAGAAGACCGAGCAAAGGTAATCTTCATGAGGGAATGGGGTGACCTGCCCATGACCATGTGGACGGGGGATGTCTCAGGCCTTCAACAGCTTTTCTGCCCCTTCTCTGTTTCCTCCTCAGTACGCCTTTTCCACTGCACAACAGCTCACAGATTATAGCCTATAAGAATTCCAAGTACCATAAAAATGTCAGTGAGATCAGGCAATTTTATCAAGAACAGCATCAAAACTGGCACGTGATTAATGGATTTCACAGCAAGTGGTGGGTATGGAATGAAGTCATTAAAGACATCCAACAGATGAATAAGTACATACAGATATACATGGAAAGAATAAAGGAAGGTAAGAAAACATGTGTATGTGTGTACATTTGTGTGTGTGC